CTTTCGAGTACACAGGTTCGGTTTGAGTGTTTTTATTGCAATCGCTTCGGCGAATCGGAGAGAAGCCGTACTTCTTTGTCTGCTAATAACTTCAAAAGCATGAGGGATGTCAATGGTATGCCCGGTGTCAAGTAGTTGCCGAGCTAATGCACTGTTGTCAACCTTAGTCCCTCTCAGCCTCAATTTCTTTAGTACATGTTCGCATTTCTTATCTCAATGTAAAATTTGAATACATATTTGGTTGTAAGCAGCTGACGAGAAACCATGAAATATAATGAATTCATATTATTCTGCATCTATGTTTGTTCTGGCTTTATTTAAATTCATAAAGGGAAACAATTGCATAAAATTTCTATTTAATTCAATGTGAAGTTTAATTTCATAAACAAGCAAACTTTGGATCAGCTATAAAGTGTAAGATCCTATAAAGAGAATGACAAAGTGTATATTTTTTTATAAGGTCATAATACCTTCATCACGTACAGGAAAACATCATCGTAAGTATATATATATATATATTACATTTTCGTTTAAATACATCTTGTACGTTCTTTTTACCACTGACAAAGTTCTTCATAATACATATATAATTGATCACATTGGAAATCAATACTCGATTAAGTAATATATGTATGTATAATTGGCAATGAGCCAGAAAAAAAGTTCAAAAAATAAATAAATGAGAAAGACTAAATTATTTTAAATTTAATAACGGTATTGATATTATTGAGTAAAACTTAATTTTTAAATTTTGAACTTATGTTAAATGTTAACATTTCAATAAATAAATAAAAAAATTGAATTTGAAAAACAATTCAATAAATTTGATAAAAAGCCATTACCATTTAATTTATTTTAAATTCTTTTAATTAAATTTCTTTTTCAAATATATAAATAAATCTTCAATAATAATTGAATAGTCCATTTAAAGTTAATTGTGATCCATAGTTGGTTAGTAATTTTAATTATTGGCTTAATATGATAAATTTTCAATCTTATGTAACTAATTCTATCTTATGGGACTACATTAAATAATAATTATATGAATCAGAAAAAAAGGTTTTATGGAGTTTGTAGGAAACGAATAGTTGAATTCATAAGTCAATTAAAGCTAGACCATCATGGGAAAACTGGAAGCACTGAACGATCATTCCGTTCTAGAATTGTACTTCTTGGTAGTGCAAACCTAAGATCCAGTTATTAGGAATTAAACCCAGGACCTATCAGTCTGGTGTACGAAAGCTTAACTTCTAAACCACTGTGCCGGCATCCAACGGTGCTAATGCCCAACTTCAAACAATCCACGAAATTGTCTTTAGTAAGTTACTATCTCCCAACAGACCTGGTTAAATTGCACTGGTCACAGCTTCTTACTAGGACTCCAGAAAATACCTCTTGAAGTTAGATATTAACACCGTCGGATACCGGCTCAGTGGTCAAGAGCGGATAGTGGAGGCACACTACAAATGAGTTCAATACTAGGACAAAACAGCCGTCCAGTGCTTTCAGGTTTTTCATAGTGATCTAGCTTTAATTGACTCATGAATTCAACTATTAAATTATATAATCCCTTCAAAGATTGCATTAATGATAAAACTGCAATATGTTAATCACATTAAATTAAACAAAACTGTAAAAATTATCGTATTTATGATAGGTTCCATTTGTTTCGAAAGATTCTAGTTAAAAAGAGTAACTATAGATTGTTCGATTAGTTACGTTTAACTACAGATTGTAACTGTCCTATATTTTCTTCCTCTTACGTAATATACCATTGAAGTTCCAATGACTAAAATCAATAATCATGTTACATAATTTATAATTGTAATGCGAGCTTAATTAAATCACATGTAATTAGAAAACAATGTGCGTATAAAATAATTATACTGTACGGGCTTTGGTATTTTATTCTCATTAATAATTTTAAGTTTTGTTGTCGGTAAATAAATAGTTAGTAGTTGGATTCACTTTAGCAAGTCAAAGACCAAGCGGTAAAAGCAAGTAAAGTTCTAGTAGGATATTGCTATCAAATAACCTGAAATTACAAAGAACAATCTAAATGGATATTAAAAAGTGTTTAAGCTGAAATGAATATTTCCAAAAGAAAATTGCTGTAAACCAAACAGCTTATTCGAACAAAAATATTAAATGAGACTGATTCATTTTTATTTGTTGAGAATCTAGTTACCTAAATTAAGTGAAACGTGGGCATAGTAACTAAGAATCATAATTTATTACACTATTCTCCCTGATACAAAGGCTAGACCGGAAACATTTTTTAACCATAATGTTAGGTTGTTTATAGATAGAGCATAAAATTTTCAGTTGTCTATAGACAAAATATTATGCGAAATCCTGAATTCTGTTCATATGTCCAGTAAACTAAAATATCTCGGAATCTATATTCAGTTACTTTGAGATCGTAACTCAATAACGCATTACTGAAACTCTGAATATCCTATGAATCTGTAAAAAAGACAATTTGTCGTTTTATTTTGAAGGGGATTGTTTCAGTTTTATTCGCACTATGAAAGGAAAATCTGGTTTACTTTCATGATAAATTTCTTCACTTGCATGTAATACAGTATCATAACTAATTGGTAAATGTGCAGGTTACAACAAAATTAACTGAAAATAATTTTACCATTACAGTTGAAGTTGAATCAACAAAAATTTTATCGAAAATGTCGAATGGAATGCAACGCACAGTAGACTAAAGACTACAGTAGACAAATGGAACGATATTGCATTTAAGCAACTTAAAATCAGGAATCAGAAACTGAAAAGAAATCATGAATAAAGTAAGGTGCACTATCAAAAATATACTGAAACGAATTCCGTACGCAGAAGATGGTTTATTCCCTAAAGTTCACTTACTTTTGATTTCTCATATATTTCTTTGTGATTTTGATTTCACGTTATCAATTTATTTTTCTTGCGGTCAAATAAACTTACCCCTATTGGTTCATGACTGTTTAATGTTCTATTCGTGCTCTTCTTTCAAGGATATTGTACATGTATTTGTACTCAATAGTTGTAAACCTAGTTTCATTTTTTAGTGCCTTCAGTAAATTTTCCATTTTTATTTTATATTTTCACTAACTTGGGTCTAAGGAAAAGAACAAGACGTCTTTATTCATCAATTAAAGAAAACCTACACTACAATCAATTAACATAATTAATAAAACATATCAATAGCAGCCACACCACTATAGACTACAATATTTTCAACTGTACGGAGTAACACTTTCCAATCATCTGTGATAAGATTACCTTACTATTAGAAATTATGGAATTTAGTAAGCTTGAAACGAAAACTTAGCATAGAAACTTTACAGTTATATAATATCTGTTATGAGGGACTAAGCTATTTACCGATTTCATCACTATAATGAATCGTTTGTTATTTTGATACTTAGATATTGCTGGTATTAACATCCTACTATGAACACTTTATTCTTGTTTCAGCAAACGTATATTTATTTCAAAGCATCAAGTAAGATAACAGGCTGTCAATAAAAACAAAACTTCGTTTAGGCTGTATATTTTTTCTTACAGAAATGTCAACTACCATAAAACCATTTTAACTGATGAATTTTAACTAGTGACCGTAACTGTTCTGTCTAGAATTGTTAGTACAGTTTAAAAAGTGTAACTGAAAAATCAATTCTTGTTTCAAATAACTACAAAGATCTGCAAAAAATCCTTTGAAAGCTGTTATCATATCAAGATCGGTTATTTTTGTTCATTGTCAAACATCGCGAAAATTAGCTACATTTTATTTCATGAGATCGAACATAGAATAGTTGCACTGTTATTCATTGTAAAACTCAACCATTTTCCTGCTTTTAATCCATCCGTATTCAGAAGCATTATGTTCAGTTTGAGAATAATAAAATCTAACAAATCAGTACCAAATACTTTACAAGTGTTACTCGAAGCAATTAATTCATATTCAAAACTGTTTCTCTTTCAAAAAAACTAAGGAAAATATAATTAATCCTCTAACAGTTGATTTTTTGAGATCAAACAATTTTTAGGATTCGGACTATTCATTGAAGGCAGTTTCGTAAAATTTAACTTTAGTTCTAATAAAATTACTTTCAGGTCAAATCATCTATGGTATATTTCAGTGATTCTTATTAAATTACACACTATGGATTTACTTGTTGTTCTGATCTTATATAGTCAATTCAAACATGTTTATTCTAGTGATATCTTTTTCTTGATTAACAACACTAGGGAGTTTATGTGTGTATATAAAACTTATATCATAAAATGTTAGTAGATTAACTAGAAAACAATATTTATCTATATGATACCAATATGCTCAGGATAGAGTTGGATAGAGAATGCTGGTAAGCGGCCTATACTCCTCCGTGAGGTGTAACAGGTGTAATTAAGTAAGTAAGTAAGTATGATGCTAATAACTCTATACATATAAATCTTTATAGAACAATATCAATACATACAAATAACTAATAAAATAATACAAAATTCACTTTGATTACAAAATGTCAAAATGATTCACTATATATATATATATATATATATATATATATATTACATTTCTCAACAAAAATATTGATGTATCCTATAAAAGGGTTTAATTTACATTGAAATGCTAAAGTTGTTGATAGGATATTATCTAGTTGATGAAAATCAATAGTAAAAGCGAATTCTAAATCTTACTTTTGTTACTCTTTTTACTGTTTGTTTTTAAAAAATTCTTGATTTATTCAGTATATGTTTATCTTGTTAAAGATTTATTCCTATTATCATAACATTGTATAATTTTCAATATAGTTTAAATACTACATTTATTGGAAATGTAATTACTATGAAAGGATAGGTCAATTTTGTATAAATGAATATTAGATCAGAACATATCAATCATGAAGAAAATACTATTGTAACGATTGTCATGAACATAAGAAGAAGAAGTAACAATAAATATATTTATTTATAATTCTTTGATAAGAAGTGGTAATGTTAAGTTGTTATTCTTTTTGATTAGATGCAATAAAACTATCTTCTCTACTAATGTATTTATTCAAATGAAATTCTTGACGGTCTAGAAACATATAAAAATTTCCATTTTGACTTTCATAAAGCCCTTTTGATGGATCATGATTAATAAATGTTATCTTGTCTATTATATCATTAATTCGAGTTTCAAGATGAATGTCTCCACTTTCTGATGATATAGAATGGGACAGTGAATGTGTATTCTGAGATGGTTCGTATACATTTTGTTTTATTTGATAAACTAATGATTCAGGTGAACGATGAAGAAATTCGATGGGAGTAATTGAAATACTAGATACAACATAATTTTCATTTAATGATTCAAGAGTTAAATCTTTCGCTGGTGTGATGGGACTTAAAGAACTAGTAGATTTTTTGTCTTTCTTGACATCAATTTCATTGTCAGCATTACCACTTTTATTATAATTACTACTATTACTACCACCACCACCATTATTATTATTATTATTATTATTACTATTTTTCATATTACTATTATTATTACGATCATTATTATTATTAGTGTTATTGTTATTACGATTATTATTATAATTATTATTATCATTATTACCATGAATATTACTATAAATATTTTTATTATCTTCATCACCATTTAATTTACTTACATCTTCAACCATAATCTCCGGAACCAATTCTTTTTGATTTACATTATTTCCAGGAGGTAAACTAATACGGCTTAAAATATGCATTTTACGTAGTAACTTGTCAGGATCCCTCATTGCTGCTTTAATCTTCTCTTCAATTTGTTTAACATTATCAGCTGATTTACATTTGTATATTTCAAAATATTTTCTCCGATCATGATTTGAATCGATACACAAAACAAAGTATTCAGGTCGTTTCCGGCTTATGAATACATACTTTATTTCATTATATACAACCCATGGATGAAATGGCATTTTTCCTGACTGTTTAACACGTCGTAGACAAATTCGATCTTCTAGTAAAGCTGCAGTACAGTGAGCTCGTCTCTTTTTGTAATATCTATCAATATAATTTAAAGCATCTGCTTCATGAAAATCTGATATGTCTCCTACAGTCACTTGGTGAATTGCACAGACGTGAACTTGTAAGAATATATATTGTTTAGTGCCAGCGTAACGTAGCACTTCATCAATAAATCCAAGACTGCCTGTTCTGCACAAAGTCTCGTTGATAGAGCCGCTATCATTAAAACTGCTATTATAATTATTGTGCATTGGAGATGAACTAGATATCATTGCTTATAATTGTTACATGCATAAAATAGAAATATGATACAGATAATTGTAATGAAGATAATTATATAGGTATCCATCAAAGGAAATTTTAGTTAATCAGTGAGAAACCATGGATTTTATTTTGATGGAAAATAACTTTATCTCAGGGTATTTCATATGTAATGCATGTAATGAATCTGTTAAAATATCCATGGAAAAAACAATCCGAGAAATCAATAATTGAAAAGTTAAACTGCAGTTGATTTAAATTTTAATATTATTCTTTTATTACACTGTTCAATTATATACAACTTTACAATAAATTAGTCTAGTCTTATTTCAACAAGCTACATGAATTGTCAAAGAAATAAAGAAATTACATCAATATATAAACTTATCGATAGTAATTACAGTTAGCACACACAAACACATCTTACTTAGAAATAATTCATTAATTATTTGCTGGATTTGTAAACAATACCTCTTAAATTCTCAATTCATACATTATAACTACGATATTTTTATAACCCATATGATTAATGTGTATGTATGCATAATGGTAAATTGTATTGCGTCAACGTATGCGTATGCATAAACCACCTAAGCTGGAAATCATACGTATGGATATTCACAGACGTTTCATTGTTTATATGAATTTTCACATGATGTACATTATTTTCGCTGGTATTGATAAAACCACATGCATATGTTCACAGTTACAATATCAGGAAAACATTCAAACCACGTTTTATTTCTTTTTTTTTTACCAGAACAAACACCTACACTATATTCTTAATAATATGTCGAAAAATCTCCACTAATAGGCTTAGGTTATTCTGTAATAATCCTACTGAGATAAAATGAAATCAATTCAACAGTCATAAAATAAAAATGTATACCAAGTAATGCTTTGAGTAGCTGGACACAATAAAGACAGATAGAGTATACCAATCTGAAAGTAGCTAGTGTTTCGAATTTAACTTCACATGGAACATAGTTATGAACAATTAAGGTTAATAGTTACGGCATATATGTTCCTTTCTAATTGACTTTCCATAGGTACCATTTTAAAATAGTATCTCACTACAATCATGACTAGTAAAACGAAGCCAAACGGATAAACTTAATTTCTATTATAATCGCATTGATGTATTTTGATAATGAAATGAGACAGCAAAAATTATCACAACATTATCTCATTCAATTTTATCCGTTTAGTAAATTTAATACAAGAGGGGAGTATAATGTATCCAATATGCCTAATGTTCTTTCCCTGAAGTTTTTGTATTACTCAAAGGAAAGATTTGCAGCAATCAAAATAAGAGAATTATGTTGAAAGAAACAATGCTTATTATTCATAACTGAAAATACTGAAACTAGTCATTGTGGAAGAAAGAAAACTGCGTTAATCTTACATTTTTAATGGTTTATGGGTTCGTCAAACTTTTGTACAATAATAAAAATAATTCGTAATACTTCACATCTGTTATTGAATAGCACTGCTGATTTGTCTCAAAACCAACGTGTTTCAACTCCAATGTTCTCGACTTCCACTAGAACTCCGAGTATTACATTTCGAAATTAGTCACGAACGATCATGTGATGACTGTTAATATTGAGTAAAGATTGTCAAATTTAAAGTTTAAAATATAGATCACTGAATGTCAAATCATAGTATTGAAGTTTAAGTGTTTGCTATAGGGCATGAAGATCAGAGTTTGAGCTCACATGGAATTCTATTATAGGACAAAGTAGCTGTTCACTATATCTTAGTTCCATTGGTTATCTAGTCGATGTCAGTTCATTATTCGGAACTTCACATAATAATAATCTCCTTAATCAGTGACTATTTGTTTGATGATGACAAGTAATTCTAAACGTCGACTTTAAAAAGTTCCAAGACAATCTTGTATCTATTCAATCTGTGATTAAAACTATACTGTCATTTGTTTTCACAAAACATCATTTGTAACTTATACGCATCCGCTACGAATTCTCTGCGATTCAGTATTGCGCATATGTTCACCTAGCATTTTTTACAATATACCGGGGTGATTTACAAAATATGTTATGTTATTTTTCTGTTTCTAAATTGCGTGCTTCTATCATTTTTGTTCTAACAACTGTTAGCACTGTTTACTACATTCGCGAGCGATTACTATTGTTGTTTGAATTTTTAGTTATCTTGCTCTCTGTTAAGTTATTTCTGTATACAGTCAATCATTATCAGTATTCGCAACAGCAATTTACATCCAAATGTTTAGTTGAATGTACTCTTTGTTTGTGATTTTAACCATCATTCTGAATAATAAATGAGGACAAATAATCAAATATATATACTCTTTTCAATCAACATATACTTTAAAAAGTAGAATTAATTGGTTTCTACCAAAATGGCTATATATGATGTTGGACGATATCTTAGTGGTCGGTTAAAGAAAGGAGGATATGAACTGTTTATTGAATAAACTTAACACTTTCCAAAACCACATCGGTCTCTCATGCGAAGAGCAGAAAAACGACCAGCTTCACTTCCCAGACATACGTATAAGTAGACTAGATGTTTCAGCCAAACGATCCATTTTGAGTACTAACGTGGACAGGTCAATACCTTCATTATTTTGGTTATTGCCCAGTGCTATATAAATGGGGTTTGATAAGGTGCCTAATTAACAGGCTTGATCGTATTTGTTCAAATGACGCCTTTGATGATCGTGTTAGGTTGCTAAATAAAACATTAATCGAAAACGGCTATCACCTTAAATTCATAAATAAATGGAAAGTTCATGGTACAGTAAGACCTACTATAACCTTGGCGATAAAAGCCTGTCTACATCACCTTGCCATTTGGAGGTGATTCGAATAGCCTTTTATTGAAGCAAACGCTTAAATCAGTCATTAACAAGACATATTGGGCAGCAAAGGTTATTACAAGGAAACAAGGTTCATGCTTCATCGAATACCTAAAAGACAAGAAAACGATTGCATCACATCCCGCTGTGTTTACCAATTTAAATGTATGTGTAGTCACACATACATAGGGAGGAGTAATCGTGATCTCAAAATCAGGGTATGTGAACATGTATCTAAATGTAGGTATCATTACTAAGATTTAACTTGATAATTTCGAATAAATTGAGCAGTGGGTAGATTGTTATAGACAAATTATTGTATTTGCAATATCCCAATGAGTAGAAAAATTAAATTTTCTGACGCTTTGTGACCATGTTTTGGTCGTCACGAAACGTCTAAAAATTTAGTTTTTCTACTCAATGGGATATTACAAATATATTAATACATTTATGTAACTAAATGGTTAAAGAAACAAATATAATCGAGTGACCCAATAAGAGTAGAGGATAAACATCTATAATACTTCGTTTAAACATCCCCGTCATATTAAAAGACTAGTACTTGAACGAAGAATATTCTTTTCGGTAAATTCTCTTCAGGTTCTGCAATTATATATCCAAATTAATAATACGAAAAATGGCCAGGTTAAGGGTAAAGTACATCGTTTAAAGCATGTGAATTTAGGATCGTGATAAACAAAATACAATTTATAATTCTCTTTTGCCATTCACATAATTGAAACAGGTCATAAGATTGATCTTAACTCAGCTTTTGTGGTGTTGTATAAAAATGTAAAAGGACATATATTAAGGTTTATTGAAGCCTTAGTCATCCGAAGATACAAACCCCCTTTATGCATTCAAAAACAGTTTCTCCTCATCTTAAACCTACTCTGGTAATATTAGCTTATTATCCAGTGTGATGACGTTTCAAATTGTTTTCACATTATTTCATTATTATCCTTGTCTCCTCTTACCCTCCATTTCTAGTCTAGTTGACCTTCTATTTTTATATATAAATGTTCTTAACAAGTATATGTGTGATCAGATTGTCCGAAATGTATTGCGCTAGTATATCATTACATTGTTCTGATAATCTTCGTCTTCTTATTACACTATCGACATTATTGAATAACTATGACAGAATTGTTTTTTGACCTTTTGTTATCTTCAATAGTTTTGATTATCATTATTCCAATTAAAAAACTCGACCAAGATTGTTGATCAACCTTGTCAACCTTGTGAATATCTTGTTTTCCACTCCTATTTGAGTCAATACTGAAGAATATCATATTGTTACGAAGCAGCTGTCTCATACACCTTAGTTTACAATGGTTTAATTCGAGACAAAATCCCATTTCAATTCCTCAAAACCATATGTCTTTTAATTTACCGAAATATAATCCAAAATTATATTATATATAATACTTTCATGAAACCTTTTCGGTTGATGCTGAAGTTTTTATTACATTGAAAAAGGTATATTTTCTCTCAATTATTTATGTTAATGTTTCTACATTTACATTACCAGTTTGCATTATGGATATTTGATTACATCACAGAAATTCTATTTTATTTCTTTGATAAAATGAACACTACAGATGTGAATTTTTAAAATACATAGAATTCAAAGTATTTAGTTTCACCATTAGTATACAATTTTTAAAAGAATATTTTTCGATCATCGTGCTTATTTATTTGCTCTCTTCATAACTGCTATAATTATCAAACATTTGATACATAACTTAAAAGTCATATGTTTGTATTGTTGACTTAATTACTTATGTAAATATCTGACTAACTAACCAATAAAACAAACGGTCTGTTTGAACATCTGACCTACCTGTTCTTACCAGCTAGATATTTCAACAAGTTATTTAATTTTGTTTTAATACATCAATATGGCTATTAATCGCATGAACTATTCAAGTGAGTTTCTGAAAAATGTACAACCTTTCGTTGACCAAGTTACAAAAAAAAGCCAATCAAAGATATCGTGGTTGTTGGCAATATGCATGGAAAAAACGTACATTATTTCGATGTCGATTGACTGGACTGCTAACTTCTAACTGATGATCACTCAATATTTTATCGTCAGGATCGACTAAGTAGTAAGAAACGGGAACTTGTTGAACTAGTTTGTGCTGATAATTCTATATTGTGCCAAAA